GAGGTGGTACGATTATACAAGTGGATGTACACAAGGGTGCGAACAATGCACAATATAGAATACAGATTGTGCTTCGATGACTTAGTAATAATGACACATATATCGCATTTTTTCAAGCACTCTGGCCAGTTCCCTTGCCCTAGAATTTGAGATGTTATAAATGAAAGACCCTCCGGACTTGCCTATAACGACTCATGGCTCTAGGGAACTGTTGCGGTCAAGTTGCTGCAATACCTTGGCACTCATTAATACACCACGACTTAGAGTAGTGAAGATATGTCCCGGGCCATACCAGATGACGCCTCGACGTATCATCAAAGGCACAGGACATAATACAGCTCAGCGGATGGGCTTACGAGCTTTATCAGATCGTTTGATCGAAGAACAAAATTACCAGGAGAATTAAGACCCTATTCATTTAAGGTGTATTGTCCTATTCATATGAGTTATTCTACTAGGGGAGGGAGTTGGCCTGTTTCTATACATGATTCGTAAGCCCCTTACTACAAGCTGCTTGACGATAAGAAATTCATATATTTACTTATTTGGCTTTGTTGGCTTTGGCCTTACAGTTAGTAGCGCACCATTATATCAGTACACAGCCCTGTGTTAAGCTGAAAGGCAACTCTATTTGAATACTCTTAACCACTTTTTAGTTGTATTCATCTAGTGCAGACTTAATTATTGGCATGGTAAAGGCTCTGCCCTCTTAACGGCCGGACGCGTCCCACAGGGCCAGAGGGCTCACTCGAGCGCATGGACGACGACGAGTACGCCGGTGGCTGGAGAAGCCTTCCGAGAAGCCTGCTGCGATGTATGAGTCGCCAAGCGTTAAGCAGCAATTAGATCGCTCTTCTTCTGCCCCAATGCCTGTGCCCTCTCTTGGGCAATCTTTTTGTCCTCGACCTCCTCCCGTATCTTCTGTATTTGCAAATCAAGCTCTGCTATATCAACATCATGCTTCACCAGAGCCTTCAGCCGCCTATCCTGAAGCTCCATATCTCTTTCCAACACTACTGTTGTTTTGAAAGTCACAGGCCGCGCACTAGATGAATGATATTAGAAAAGAAGTAAAAGAAAAGAGAGAAGAAAAAATGTAAATTGAACGTACTATAACTCTTATTTCTCTCGACAGGTCTTATCCTAGCTCTAGCAGCCCCTCTACGAGCACTTGATACCACGCGCCTGAGGAGCTCCTGTAATGTGTACAACTATATAAATGATTTCCGGTGGTCGGATCTGGAAAACGCGGGGTCCCGTCCGCTCCCTGTCGCGCTAAAAACGACGCCGTTAAGCGCACAGCGCTCAACGGCCTTTATATAGCGTATGACCCCTCTAGCGTGACACTCCCCCTTAGCTAAGCCAGATACCACAGGCGTTGCTACTACAGAGCGAATACATAGAGGGAAAAGTATAAAAGGGGAGGGGAAGAGAAAAAAAAGAGAGAAGAAAAAAAAAATTGGTTGCATCTCTTTGATTAAGCGTGTCATCCTTAGTGCAGGGGCCATGCTACTGCAATGTTGTTAGTAGTTGCGCACTGATTCGAACTGGTGACTTTTCTTACATCTTCTCTGTCTGAGTTTGGTTAGCTAGCATTTAGCGCGGGTCGTAATGGCAACTTACATCGTTTCAAATTGACCAAATGCCCGAAGGCGAAATCTTATCCCATTATTGAGCACTATACAGTCCACCTCAAGCTGCTACACCCAATTACCTGCTTAGAAAAACTCCCCACAGCGGTCCCTATCCCTTTGCTCTGAAGTGCTAGTATAGAACCAGCGACCAATCAAGATAGGAGCATCAGCAGATTTAGAAGCTCTAATTGGAGCTCTCGTGGCGCCTGAAGGGATAGCGGCCCCCAAAAGCTCTAAGTACCTAGGTACCTTAGGTACTTAAGTACTCACTAGTAAGCCTGCAGACATCTGCCAGCCACCTATCTGCTAAAAGCTATCTAATCTATCTCATATCTACATATTAATGTTGTACAATGTCAGCTACAAGTTTTAATACACCTATAATATCAATATTCCCATCTACCAAGCATTACCCAACAACGCCGAGCCTAGGATTTATAAGTAATACAGCAAATATGTCTCAAACCATAATATATTACACTTAATACCAATCACGTATCCTTTATCCTGCAAACTCTGCTGAAATGGGGCCATTCTTATGTCATCAGCCTGGCGTTAAATCTTCAGCGTGTCTTCACTATCAAGAAAGAAAAACATTAATCGGATTTGTTACACCTCAATCCGTTTCCACAAGTCAGATATAATTCAAACTTGGATCCTCCCTTGCAATGGATTTTATCATCGCACTTAAGTGGATTCCCCATAAAGACGATGGACTCGTCGATATCAAGACTCTCAAACAAATAGCAGACGATAAGTTATTTGACTCATTGTACAAACCCAATGTAGCAAGGAAACTCGTATGTTCTTACTACGACAGATCATGCGAGACCTCTAGCGGGGTTAGATTGCATTTCTAGCAACATAACGGCCTATTTTTCCTCTGTCCCGTCCCTCAATGTCGAGCGAATGTGGGCGAGTTTCGAATGGGAAAGTCCGATTTTTATATTCACATGAAATCCCACAAGGAACGAGGCACCTTAGCCACATCAAGGCACCACCATGGCGACCTAATGCTGAAGAGTATGGGCAGCGGACGCCCCAGGAAACTGCACGATTCGTCAAGCAATTGCTGGCTCAGCATCCCAACCTCCAGCTTGATCAAGATAACATCACACCGACTTGCGAAACTGGAGCTTCCAGCACCGACATCAATGCATGGTACCAGGAATTAAAACAACAAGCTACGGCTCAAATTCAACGTGAAAACATAAGGACAACGCGTATCTCAACAGAAACACAAGGTCAGATATTATTATACAACCTCAACCAGGTCAAGAAAGGTGCGTAAAATCATAGCAACTCGTGCAGATTTCCTACACGGATAACCAGGACTCTTGTCTGGAAAATCTTTTGCCTTTACAAAATGGGGTCAAAAGTGTCTTGGCCCTCGTCCTTCTAATAGGGAGTGGGTAACAGAGCGGTGCCCACGGAACGCCCGTATAGAATGGACACAGCAGAAGCAAAACTTACAAAAGATAACCGCTTTATGGACTTCGGCAACCGATGTTTCGAATGCGCCAAGGAGTATGCGTTATACGAACTTTTCCAATCCTATGGAGTTTTAGCGGATAATGACGATAGCCAACCAACATGTAACTATGAAGGTTACTCTTCTACCCGGTTCTACCGCGCACGCTTCTGTTCAATACATGACATAAGCCCAACGGTAGCATGTCATACTACGTTTGCCGAGAAACCCGGTAACGATTATATTGCACATCAACTCTACGCAACCAACAGTTGGGAGCTAGACCAGTTCTCGAGATTTGGTGTTTTTTTTAAACAGACACCGCTATAATACTCCACCAAAGTTCTTTGTTATAGACTTTGAAGGATATCTTAATAGAAAACCTCCAATAGTTAAACAAGCTGCTGCTATTCAAATTGATTTGACAGCTGATAGCAACGGGCAGTTTATATTCAACATCAACCTCAACAACGAATCTCTCGGTATAAATTGCAAGGAAGGGGTTTTAAACGCTGGTGCAGAAGCTGGATATTTTGGCCCGATCCTTCTTAAGTATGGGAACCACTCTTACTGGTCCTACAACAAGGAGACCCTGTCGGGAGACCGTGTTAATCCTCTACAAGCGGCAAGAATCATCCAAAATAGTGGTATTACATGCAATGACTATATCTTAGTGTGGCATAAAAATACTGCTGATGTTGATGGCTTGGAACACCTGCTCTCACAAGCCGATTTTCATGGAGTTCTGCCGCCGAATGACCATGTCCTCCGGTTTCCTTATCTTTTCCGGCATAACCTAAGCTTGCCCAAAGGAGTGACATACAAGCTTAAGAACTTATTCAAAATCATATTCCCAACTCATCCTCTACGATACAGCCATCATGATGCCCTGATCGACAGCAAGAAAACAGTTATGATGGCCCTGTATGCGGAAAAGCTTCTTGGTAGCGAAAATGCAGCCTAATATAATACAGGATGATGTACTACTCGTCATTGGATTGGCGGATTAACACGTTTATAACAACTATCGGGCTAGGAGTATTTGTTACACTCGCTGAACACTTGTACGCTATCGCATGCCGAAGGTATATAACCTCGTATTGCGCATGTCTCAAGGTTATTGAAACTAAAGCTATCCAGCCCTCACTTATTTGAGACAATTGGTCTTACCCTAAGCTTTCTGATGAGTCATCAAGGGTGTCCTCCTCTCTGTCATTAACTATACCTATAGCTGTACCGGGATTTTCCTAGATCATACTAGACAGTTGGATGCTTTAAATAGCTATAACCACCCCCGTAACAGCGGCATCTACTTAATATCATGATGCTTTCTTTTACCCAACGCTTATTATTATAATAGCATAGATGCGGTGAAAGAATGCTGGATTATATACGTACGCCTTAATTATTAACGTTGATGTTATGCTTTATCATTATTACATGTCTACTACCATGTGATAATACCTTGTTGGAGTTGATATTGATAAAATCTTTATATTTAGCATTGTTCTTATCGATGACCTTGTATTCCACTACCTTAAGTTATAAACGGGTGAGAGTTTACCCCTCTGGTCGAAGACATACTAACACTTGTGTGTCTACTCCTTTAGGTGCTATTAAAGTCGGATATACTCTATTTATACCCATACGTACCTCGCTCTTCCGTCACTAAGTAGCTAATAAACCCTTCCCTTTTAATTATCCCAAAATACACGATGAATTCTGCTATACAAGTAATGTCTCCGCTCCTTATTACGGGCACATAGCCAACTGTGAGTCTATTCATCTCTTAGTCGATATACCTATAGACTACCGGCATTATCTCTAAACTGAATGATGACCTGCATCATAATGCTTATTATTGAGCATATCCTCAGAATTTTGAACTCTTGGAGGGCTTCGTGGCCTAATGGCTAGGGCGCTAGATTTCGGTAATGGGAAATTCTCTAGAGATTGTCGGTTCGAGTCCGGCCGAAGTCGTGATATAAAGTTTTGCCTGTTGGTCCTTTCTTCTACGTCAATTATTCTTTTTTATTTTTACACCGATTGTTACGTTTTATATCTTCATTTATGCTGGTACATTCGTTATATACAGTACAGGCTCCCCCCCACTCCCATTCTTCCATTTTTGCTAAATTTCGCGTAACACAATTATATACAATCAACGGTAACACTGTTAGGTAGAATCGGCAGCCGGTGTGGGCGAATTCCCATCGGCTATAATGGCGCAGACGGAAAACGGCGGGTAGTGGGGGCCAAATCTGTGAATCAGATGGTGGGTACTAAGTAGATAGGCCCCGATCTCGGCCGGTCCAGCCAAAGCGTCCTTCACCCCCCGGCCAGCCTCGCGTTATTATACATATGTCTGTTGTTAGCCTTTCGCTGCCACGAACCAATCGCGTTCCTGCGCAAGGTACCACCTGCAGTCAGTTCTTATAGTAGTAGCCGTAGCAGGAGTGCTCGGCGAGGGCAGTTCGACGACAACGACAACGACGACGACGACGACGACGACGACGACGACGACGACGCAATCTCACCATGTCGGCCTCCCTACCTGGCAATCGGGAGCTGCCCGAGTCGCAGTATGACCTGAGCACGTACTGGGGCCGCGTGCGCCATACTGCCAGCATCACCGATCCGAGGTGAGTTTTGCTATGTCCTCGCGCCGATGCACTTTGGGGGGGCGGGGGGAGGAAGTGTATATATACCTACGGCGCGTCGCTAACATTGCTGTTCTGTTGCTCTGTGTAGGACTCTCTTGGCTGGCACGAGCGGCCTCGAAGATGCGAAGAAGTTGATCATGGCATACAAGCAGGGCGAGATCAAGGAGATGACACCAGACCTATGGCGGGCGAAGAAGATCGTTGACTCGACAATACATCCCGGTACGGCGACGAATCTACGTCCCTTTCTCCTCCGCGACTCGGTTTGCGCCGCTGGATTTGACTGCTAACTGGATGCGATGCGATGCCATCAGATACTGGCAAGCCCGTCTTCCTACCTTTCCGCATGTCATGCTTCGCGCTCTCGAATCTAGTCGTCACAGCGGGAATGCTCACGCCAGGCTTATCAGTACGCTTCCCTCCTCTCCCCTCCCCTCCCCTATCTCCATGTATCGAGTAACACACGAGCTAACCTTCACACGGCGCATCTAGAATACCGGCACCGTGCTCTGGCAAATAACAAACCAATCGCTCAACGTAGCCATCAACAACGCGAACGCAAACAAATCCACCCCACTCTCCTACTCCAAACTCGCGCAATCCTACTTCCTCGCCGTCGGCGCCTCCTGCTCGGTAGCCGTGGGCCTAAACGCCCTCGTGCCCCGCTTGAAGCGCGTATCCCCCTCGACGAAGCTGATCCTCGGCCGCCTGGTGCCGTTCGCAGCCGTCGCGTCCGCGGGCTTCCTAAACGTACTGCTCATGCGCGGTGAAGAGATGCGCGTCGGCATCGACGTGTACCCAGTCCTCTCGGCAACGGACAAGGAAAAACTAGCAGCGCAAGGCAAAGCCGAGGGCGACGTGCAGTCGCTAGGCAAGAGCCGGCGGGCGGCGACGCTAGCCGTCGGCGAGACGGCGCTGAGCCGCGTGCTCAATAGCACGCCTATCATGGTGGTGCCCCCGTTGGTCCTCGTGAGGTTGCAGCGCACCCAGTGGTTGCGGAATAACCCGCGCTTGACGCTGCCTGTGAACCTAGGCTTGATCCTGGGCATGAGCTACATCGCGCTGCCGCTTGCGCTCGCGGCGTTCCCGCAGCGCCAGAGGATTAGTGCGGAGAGTCTTGAGGAGGAGTTCCATGGGCGTGGTGGGGAGGGGGGTATGGTTGTGTTTAATCGTGGGATCTGATACCCTTAATTGTGATAGAGTCTTAAGGCAAGCGAGCGCAAGAAAGAGAAGAAAGGAAAGAAAAAGAGAAAAGGAAAGAAAGAGAAAAGGAAAGAAAGAGCAAGAAAGATAGAGATAGAGACAACAGACGTGATGATGTCTGTTTGGTTGCCAGGTCTGTCTACGTATATCATGATATACTAGAAAGACTAACGGTCCGGCGCTTGGTTTTGGGGCTATAGGGAAAGTCGCGATGCCTTATATCCCCGTGTTTAGACGTGTCACTACGTCATTCGAAGCTAGATAGCGCTTTGCGGTCCTTTTGGTAGAAAGCACTAGTTGATACCCTTTCAAAATAGAGGGAGTGAGTGGAAGGAAGCAAGGAATGGTGGATGGGGTTACTACATCTCTATTTATCTACCCATTAACCACTAACAGTACACACCAGTGTCTGTCCGCCCCGGTCCCGTACCGTTTATGATCATACATCCTGAGGAGGACCATAGATTTCAGAGACTTTTCTCTACTTCAAATTGCCAGAGAGAGACACGGTAGATGCGCCGTGAGAATTTACTTCATACCTACCTAGCCTACGGTCATCATAATATGTACCTAGGTACGTAACACTAGATGATAAGTAGATGAGCTTCTAACGACTCTATCGAGTATATACTGTAGAACAGAATAATGGTTAGCTTAGGTAGGTAGGCAAAGCAGCAGCCGTAGATGTCATCACCTACATACACTTACTTACTTACTTACCTACACCACACACACATAAATATATAAACGTAACTAGCTCCTACTAAGAATTTTAAATATCCCAGTTCCCTCTGCTACTCGTTATCCCGTCTCCCCTTTCTTACCTACGATTCTCAGAGTAGTAAGTCGGTGTTTACCCGTCGAAGAAACAGCTTAGTTTAGCATATTTCTATTACAAGGCCAAATTTCTATACCACAAACGCGTTGAATATTTAGCTAAGTAGATATATCATTGCATTACGTTGGCAGGAGTAGGCTGGAGCCTATGGAGTTTGTTCCATTTACTTGCTTGCGTGATATTTCGATATGTGGTATGGATACTACTGAGTATTTGTAGGTAGAACAATGGTGCGTGATTAATCCACTTTGCCATAGCCTACTGGACTGGAAATTGGTCTACCTGAATATACTACCTATAGTAGTTATCTAGCTGCCTGCCTACCCACCTGCTTACTTGTATATACTATGTTATGCGCGCAGTGTATATAGTAATGTAATGTAGGTACCAACCGACAGGTGATCCGTATTCCGCTTGGAGTATCCCAATATGGGCTGGACTGGGCTTGCGCAAAGACAGAACGCAGAGAGAGAGAGAGGAGAGAGACACTACCTACTAAGTCAGTATATAATAATGCCAAGGCTATAATTAATCTATACTAGATGCCTAGGTAATGTAGTTCGATAACAAGATAAACTGACAATATGCAAATCTAAACCTGCCCAGGTGGCTTCTACCTAAGTATACAGGTAGTATACTCATGTTAGGTAAGAGAGCACTAAGGGGTTTCCCATCACAGAAAGCCGACGACGGGGGGATTTCTGACCGGGTAGGGTAGGGCAGCTCGGGTAGGGCAGCTCGGGCAGGGCAGTTGTCGTAGATAGGTACGTGGATGCGTAGATGAATAATTAGGCCGGTGGGCGACAACGGCAGCACTAGGCTAGGTAGACAAACTGCAGTGCACCACACAGCACAGCAACAGGGAGAATTCTACCTACCTATCTGGCCGCGCAAGTGATGGCCCGATGATGATATGTGTGCGTGCGTGCGTGTGCGACTGCGTGTGTGTGAGAGTGTGTGTACTGTAGCATCCAGACTAGTCTAGCGCAACGCACTACACACCTCTGAGGACGCGGGGTACATTAAAATATTACGTTGTCCCTGGCCCTCTTGGCCCTCCTCTCTGGTGGTTCTTGTCTCTCGCACTTGTTTTGTCTTGTTGCTTGCCTGGAAGGAAATTCTCGGGACTTTCTCCCGCTATTCTGCTCGCTTGGTTGCTGTCTCGGTAGAACCATCATCAGATGAGCCCCGCGCCCCAGCCGCGGAACCGAGATTGGTGGTTGGCTTGGGTCAAGACCGGAACAGCGCCCTTAGATCATACTAAGTACTCTCGTTGGCAATGTATGGCGTGGATGCCGTGGTCTTCCAGTTTCCGATGTGGCTGGCTGGTCCTGGCTCGGCTAACTGAGTTGGCTGTTGTTTCGATAAATAGACATAAGCAGTGCTCTGTTAGTTGTTGTCCTAAGCCCTAATTCTAGATTTATCCAACCGAACGAGACGTTGCACCTCTGTGATACCGAAGCACTGATAGATAAGTGGGAGGGAATCTGTTATCGTGAAGAGATATCAGTACAACAACACACTCCATCCCATAGTGCCTGGTAGGTATACATAGTATACAACTATGGTGTACGGTACATCATCAGTAGCACGCTACGTGGGATCGACTGGTAGTCATCTCATAATGGGCCTAGTATGGCGAAACAGTGACTTCATCGTTGTTCAAGGGCCGGGGCGGTGGGCAGTGGGCAGGGCAACGAGACCAAGCCCAAGGAATGCCCCAACCGAGGACCACCAGCGAATAGACTGCTGCATCTGGCTGCTGTGTTGGATGGAGACAAAGAGAAAATCAATCCTACCCTCCATTGCTGCGTAGATAAAGAGGGCCTTGCTGGAAGACTGATTTGATCTGTTGCCACACCCTGATACCTATGACCTTATTAGTGCACAGTACGGACGAGCCGGAGGCTGGAACGGCCCTGCCGCACGCCATCACTGCGAGTCACACAGTTTTGGAACTGATCTGACACTATCACTAAATACCTGGTCAACTCACCGACCTATTGCGTATCGTAGCATAGTGAACAATAGTGCACAAGCAGTGCACAGGCGTTGTCACTAGCAATGGGGTACTGTACTACGTACTCAGTACGTACCTATCTAACCTGGCGCAGGCATGGCGACGGTACCTTAGCAGCAAGACTTGATAGGGCCTTGAATCCTTGTCTGCCTTCGCGTGATTCATAGCGTACCGGTGGGTATACTAGTGTACATAGTAGATGATCTTCTGTGATGTGCACTAATGACTGAGAGCGTAAGCCATGGTGAAAAGGCCG